ACTTATTGCACGCTAATTTGATCAAAAATAATTTCATTTTTTCTTTTCTTCATTTGTTGTTGAGGGGCCAAAGAAAGACTTCAGACTAAAAAAATTCAATATTCTTCCTATTTTTCTCGTATCAGGTTTTAAAGCGTTTACAGTGATGGAGGTTGCTTTCATGGCCACATGTACGGCTGTAAAATACACTCATCTGAGCCAGTAATTGTGAACAAAAGCATCTCTTTTAGGTCTTTTTGCCGTCACTGGTGTCTGCGGCTCAGCCTTGTGACTGAGACCAACGCTTTGGGTCAATAATAATTCGGAACATCATACGCCATTAATCGGTCTCACATAAATACTGTGACACTGAATAGTGTAAATGTAAAAAAATGCATTTCTGTCTGGATAAATAGAAATACTTAGACTTAGACTTAGACTTAGATATGTTTTCTATAACTAAGAGCTAAGAGCTAGCTATTTGCAGGGTAAAGAAGTATATATATACATATATATTGCACTGAGTTATAGCAAAAAATACTGTAGTTTGCATTCTAGCACTAGTTTTAACATGGTCTCATATCCCAAAAAAGGACTAACCTGTTCCAGTTCTTGGCATAAACCATCGAAATGGTGCTTTTATTATTCTGTTCATTGAGGAATAATTTCAGCTTCATGTTTTGTTCTCACAGTTGAATGGATCCCTTTGTGCACCATCGTCATTGGACCGAGTGTTAAACGGTATTGACCGTGTTAAAACGGCCGGAAAAGTGTGGGCAGCCGACAGAGACCTACCTCTCCCAGTTTTCCAAGCTTCACATACGTCTCCAGCTTCCCAAATCCTATGTCAGACTACAGAAAAAAGACAGATGTGGTCATAAAAGAGGGTTTGTTATGCGATAAATGCTTTAAATTCAGTCAATTCAACCTCAGATGAAGAACAATAAATGGCATAATACGCATTATTTATCATCACGAACAAAGCCAAACTACAGACTATGGATGTGGAAAACTACAAACTTTACCTAAACTGTCACAAATAGGATCATGGGGCAGGAAGGTGGTACGAATCAGATCAGATTAAACTTGATTAACTGATCATCGTCCAATCAGAGAACCTCTATAAAAGCAGATGTTTTTTTCTAAGTTTGCTGGTATGGAGCACCTGACTTGTAACGATGTTGTTGCTGCCCATAAATTTGGTAAGGACTAAAAATAAACATTTTCAAACTCTGTTGAGTCCATCGTTCTACAGAGAAGAGGATTTTCCCAGGAACGGAAATCCCGGTAAGATCACCCAAAGTCAGAATATACAAAGCTCAGAAACCCCCTAAAAAAGGAAAACTAATGTTTCCTTTAGTTTCACGTTTGAAATAATATAAACAATACCTATCAAGGTTTTGACTGCCTTTTTTAAAATATGCGCAGTATTTGTACTTTTACTTATACTTGTACTCTCTATGCTCGAGTATCAATTTTTGAAATACTTCTACTTGCAATACGTAAGTACAAAAAAAATGGAGTACTCCCGTCCTTCCACTTAAGTATGGAGTTGAAAGAACACTTTCACAACACAACTTTCACTCAAGTCAGTTTTTTATATTGTACTTGTACTTGTACTCTACTCCAGTACTTTATACATCTCTGCTGCCCAGTGGAGGACTGATTGTCACGTCTGGGGGAATGTCTGGTGTCTCGTCATGTCTTGATTAACTATTGTGTACACCTGGGGTTCCCCTCCCTTTAAGTTTAAAGTTTAAATAGTCCTCGTTTCCCAAGTCCTGTGCCAGTGTGTTTTCGTTCTTCTTGTTGTGTCTCCCCACGTCATGTAAGGGTTTGATTATTTGCCCTTTGCCATAGCCATGTTTTGCCACAGTCTTGCCACAATTTAGTTAGTCTTTATTTTGTTACTTTGCCATAGCCTTGTTTACTCCTTGATATCTTGCCACAGTCTAGCTTTTCGTACCATAGTCTTATTTTTGTCACAGCCTTGCCATAGCCTTGTTTTGACCACAGCCATGTTAATCTTGTTTGTACTTTAGCCATAGTCTTGTTTGGATACTTTGCCACAGTTTTTTTAAACCTTGCTTTGTTACTTTGTTCATAGTTTTGCCACAGCCTTGTTTTTGAACCTTGTCCTTCCATCCACTCGTTTTGAGTGCCTTTTGTTCCAATAAACCCTTGTTTTCTGCATCTCCGCGACTGAGTCCTCCTTCCAAGATCCACCCATCATGACACTGATGATCCGGGTTCGGTAAACAAAACAATTCCAATGACAACACTGAGATAAGATAAGAAGCCCCGAGAGGAAATCCAATCTTCCGTGGATTGCGAACTAAACTATTTACCGGTTGGAGATTTATTAATCAAACGGATTAAAAAAACAGAGCAGGTTACGAACCAGCGAGGCCCTCCGGGACATCCGGCTGAGAGGTTTGCTGACCGGTGAGTTCTCACTCTCCATCTGCAGCTTCTTCAGGAACTCTGGAGGCAGGCGGATGTCCATCGGCAGGGACATGCGCTTACTCACGTCCTGAAACACACCGTGACACAGCAATAAATAGTCATGACAATTTATTTAATCCGTGGAGCCAGGGACCCTGTGGCTGGGAGCCCTATTCATTTGTATTCATTCAGGTAATTAAGTTTCATTAAGTTTTGTTTTCATAGTTTTCTTTGAGGAAAATGGGAGATATTACTCTCTCCACCTCAGAGTTATTCGTACTTTTCGTTGTACAGATAAAAAACAAATCTTAGACCAGGGGTCTTCAAGGTTTTCCAGGCCAAAGACCCCCAAACTGATGGCGAGATGGAGCGGGGACCCCCTAATTATATATATGAAATTGTGGAATATATATGTGAAATTGTGTTGTATAAAACTGGTCCTATAGTGTGTAAATGGACCTTGTTATTGGGCATTCAGTACTAAGATCCTCAGATATTCCACAGGTTGATATCTTCCTGTTTTTACTGTAAACATCTGGTTCTGGTTCCTGGTTGGTGGGACAGGTGTTGTGAATGAAACGGGGCCCAGCTTGAAAGAGCTCCTGTGTGATAGATAGATAGATAGATAGATAGATAGATAGATAGATAGATAGAT